TCTGATTTTGCGCTTTTGGTTCCCTCATCCGAAAGATGCCTTCCTAATCTAATTTTGTGAAAATCAACGAAATCGTTGTAGAAATGCACATTTAAAATTAATTAAAATCGCAAAGCTGAAACTATCAGCCGAACCCATCTGAGCATCATGGCACACAAAAAGCACACAACCGAAAAACCTGCAAAATAACAATAATTAATGACTTTGCTGGACTTTATGACGTGTTCCCATGGGAGACAAAAGAGTTGACTGAGATAACTCCTAATTGTATTATTTTTATCCATGCAACTTTTAATTCGGAATTTTTATCGTATATACATACGGGTTGAAGCTCCAAATCTCATTCGCACATGATGAATGGTCGTCTTTCATGTCCGGATGGTAATTAAATACCTCCGCTGTGGTGACAAGGGTGGATGGATAAGGTCGAAAGGGTTGTTTTTCTTAGCTCCACCGAATTGTGTCATGTAATTAAGTTTAATATTTAGAGAAATGATCTATTTGCTGTGCACGTAAAGAACTCGGGTTTTAACACTCAGCTGGACAAGGTTTTGCTAGATTCATTGTGATCCAAAACAGTGCCAACTGATCCGTTGGAACTTCCAAAAAATAATTGTATAATTTAATTCAAGTATTTTTATTATCAAAACGCCAATAAAATACTACAGTACCTGGCATTAGCGTTACAATAATAAATGATAAAAAAATGCAAGCGAAATGCGAACTTCGCAAGTAAATTCGACCGGTATAATAACCTACTGACTCACGCGGCCAGTGAATTATAATACAATGTGGGCCACACGATTGTGTTCTAGTCGCTCCTTTACACACCCGCGCACTTCTCCACTTTCCCCTTGTCCTGCTAAAACGAAGCCGTGATTTAAGTGGAAATCTCGCTGCATTCAGCGCAGCGCCAACGCCTTATTGAGTAGTAGATTAGTATCGGTTGTTTGTATAGAATTTTTAAGTCAACTTGAATGCAATAAAGGGACCGTGCGATGATAATATAGAGATTCTATTTATTATTCGAATTAAGATGGAATTGTAAGAGAAATTACTTAGGTATATTTGTGGTTTTTTTCAGTTATGGATCCTTGATATATGTTGCGACGCAGATAGCATCAGGAATGAAGTACTTAGAATCGTTAGATCTAATTCATAGGGATTTAGCTGCCAGGTAAATTTACGAAATTAATCTAATTTTCATATATTTTTCCATCAAATCTTGTTCATATTTTTTTTTATTATTCGTTTTCGCACATTAGCAAGTTTTCAGTTGGAGGAATCGCCTTCCACATATACATTTTAGCAATAATTGGGAACTAATTAAATGTTAATTGTTAAATTTGTATATTTCAGGAATTGTGTCATAGACAAAAACTACACGGTAAAAATCTCAGATCACGCAATGTATTGTGATCGATACGAAAGCGAATATTATATGAGCGATACAAAAGCCCGATTACCAATTAGGTGGATGTCATGGGAAGCCTTACTAATGGTAAGTTCACTTGAAGCACTCCGTGAGATGAAAAGTAACAAATATCTGGTCATCTGGCCTGGGCCCTATAAAAATTTAGAGCATGCGAACAGTTAGTCAATCGCTACTTTCTGTATGATTAATTTATTATTTTCTTTCCAGGGCAAGCATACGACCAAAAGTGATGTATGGTCTTTCGCCATTACTTTATGGGAGATTTTGATGTTGTGCACCCAACAGCCCTATGCAGAACTGACCAGTGAACAAGTTGTCGAAAACTGCAGCCATTGGTACCAGAACGACGGTTGCAGACGGTAAGGAAATATTTTGAATATAATAAATAAATTAATTTGACATTCAAAATTTGATGGGAACAAAGTCTTTTTTAATTATTTTCCCCCTGGCATGTTTATCGTTGTAGTCTCCTGTGAAGAAATGTGCTTCTTAAGACTTTTCCATTAAATTTTTTAATCGTTAACTAAAAAATTTGTAATAAATGCAAATACTAAAAAATAACAATCGAGTAAAGACATGGTTACAAAATGCTATTTAAAAAGCACCTAAGCCAAAATATACCTACGAGTATTTTGGGAATTAATTAAAAGTTTGATTTTGATGTCTTAAAATGCTTGGATGCGAAAACACCGGACGTTAAAGTTGCATAATTTCTTGAATATTTTTACTGAGACGGTTTTTTGTCCATTAAAGCAGTAAACTCATATTGGTGTCATTTTATCTAAAGCGTAAGTAAGTGAGGCAAATTACCCCAATTAAAAAATACGTAAAATTGTAAAGCAGTTTATATTTCTTAAAAACAATCAACGGTATGGGAGAAGTCGAAAGATCCTTTTCTATAGGGTGATTTGAGACCATGTTTTCTTCTTCAGGCGTTACGCAAAATTCTCCCTTCAAAGAGCGAACACCGATTCAATTGAAGAATTTCACTTAAATCTCGGAAGTCGAGTCTATTTAAATTGTCAAAAGAACCCTTTCGATAGACTCTCAAAAACTGCCTGTCGCTAATTGGGCTCGAACAGAAATTTGTTATTACAAAGTTATAAGCGAAAATCAAAGCAAAGTTTCACGACATGTCGAAATTGGAACAGCAACAGTTAAAAAGTCTTATCGTAAGGGCTTTTTGCGTAAAACGTATGGAGAACTACATTTCTCGTGTTTTAAATTCAAAAATCAACAAATTGATTGCCAAAAATTATAGAGTAATAATTAACTACTTTTAATTATGTGAATTGTTATCTATTGAGATTTAAAGATTAGGTTGCCACAAACCAATGGCATAAAACGGCACTTCAAAATCTGATTGACATATCGGGTTTCTTGTTAATATGTTTTAGAGGAAGTTAATGAAAAAATATTGTTTTGTTTCATAGTGCTCTGCCAAGGCCAGCATTATGTCCTCGAGAAATCTATGACCTGATGGGGGAGTGTTGGAAGCGAAACGCTGCTGACCGACCGAGATTTTCCGAGATTCATCTATTTCTTCAGAGGAAAAATTTGGGATTTATGCCCAACGGCAACTCGCCTATAGTATAAGCACCAAAATGCCGTTCGGACCAGCCAGTGGTTTTCCGAAAAAGGCGCTCCAAAATCATTCTAAAGCTTAATTTCCTTAAGTGTGTAGGTATTTTTTCTTTGAATTTGGGTGTAACGGGACTCAAGTTGAAACAGGTATTAGATAGTGAATATATCTACCGGGTGTCAGACAACATCCACGGCATCGATTAGTCGTAGTTTTTTTACCCTTAACAGCGCTGTACATTTCGTTGCTTCTCATATCTAACCGTAGTTGTTCGATGCTGTAACACGTTTTTTTGACACCCTGTACAATACGAAGCATATACATAGAACATATTATAACAATTGATTTTTGGAAGATCGACTGGGCGTAAATATCCTGTGAAAAAGACTCTTTGTTTGTAGTCTTCTTCATTATAGCTGCTCTACAACCCTACATGTGATACAGCGCATATTGTGCAACCTTTGTAATTCATCATATCGTCAAGATGGATAGTTCATATCTATCTTAGTTTATCGCTTTTTATGTCCAACATTAATTCACTCGTAATCAACGTCGTTTTTTCTATGAACAAACGAGTTTAACAATAAAAACAGGCCATTTGAAGGTGGATTTAGAAAAATTTCGTGTTTAAAAAGTTTAAAGACAGCTTTAAACTTGAAAATATTCGTCAATGTATTCTATAAATATTCGTATAATGGTACATACTTGAAAAATATTCTACGATCAATGAGAGGCAAACTATATACAAATGCGCAACATTTTTTCACAGAATAATATTTCCAATAAGAACAGCTTTTTTTGCAGCGTTGCCCATAAAGTAACTTTAATAATGCTTCTAAGCATATTATGTAAAAACCTCTTTACGCTGAACGTCAAATTTATTGTTTTAGCTTTCAAAGTGGCTTCAATAGCCCATTTCAAATTCCAATTTTATTGCGATTAATCGAAACTGTTTAAACTTGAACGAGTCTCAAGCATAAATCAGCCTATAATCAGGAAAAAATCAGTGACACCAAAATAGTAATAAAATGCAGATTGTTCGTCTTAAAAAAAACAATTTGCAAAATCAATGTGCATACAAAAAACATATTTTGTTATGACAATTGGGGTAATTCTTCAAAAGTATATGATGCCTCTCCTAATAAAGTCGCGGTATGTAATTCTTGCTAAGTGTACGATGTAAAAAGTTTAACAAAAACATGTAACTAACATTTTAAAATCCTGAAAAAAATGCTCAAGAACTGTACAAAATAAGAATGTCGTCAGCCTCACGCGCTCCTCGTCTATTCCTATGTTCCTTCAAGAGAATGTTTTTCAAGTACCAGTTCGGTTTTACTTCGTTTACTCACACTGTACATTGTAATCCTTCTGTCAAAATTCCACCAAAAACATCGTATAAATGTACATTTTTCTTCTCGTAGGTAAGATTTAGGATAAAGTAAGTCATGGTTAAGATATAGCGACGAATTATCGACGTACTTACACGCTCTTTGATTTAAATCCAATTCCACCGTTTAAAGTAGCTACATACAGTGTGTTTGAGAAAAAATTGAACACCTGTAGGGAGCTTCTACGGTATAAAGCGTCAAATTTGTGATTTAAAAATAATGCAATTATATACAATAGGTGTCAGGTAACGATAACGATAATATGCCTAATTCTGCTATTTAAATATCTCTTTTCCCCCTTTTAAAGACCCCTCAGTGCCATAAAGTAACTAGGATTTCGTGTACATAGAATTGTCTGTACATATAGCGATAGATACTTGGAAATATGAATTGTTCGTAGTTTCTAAGATGTGAAAATAAGGGCGTAAAATTAATTGACTTTTCTTTAGTTTTAAGTACTGAACAAAATGTTTGTCAATATTTAATGATAGTCATGAAATTAATTTTTTAGACAAAAATTTATGATTATTTCAGCTGTGAATGTGTAAAGAATGCGGTAGCCAGAATTATTCGTTGTTTCAAGTTCAAACAGTGAAGCTTACTCTTACTAGTAATCTTTAGCGAGCCATGCTTTAATTGCAGTGATAAATACATTCAACATTCAGTTTTATCAAAGTTTGTAAGGTAAAAACTAGCTTTTTCATCTCTCACATTTTTTATCTTTGAACTAATTTTTTGCAGATTTTAGATTGCTTTTAAAACTAGATCGTTTGAGTCAAGAAAGCAAGTTCCACCTCGGATTTTTGAAGAATACACAGAAACTTTGTTAAAATGCATTTTCCAAAATCTCCAAGCTATTGCTTGAGGATCTATTGAAGCATTTGCTGTTAAATATAGAGCCAATGACGATTGAAAAGGTACAATCTAAAGCCAATTTTAAATTTTAACTCTGACATTTTTTATTTTATTACTGTTGTGTAATTTTTTATAAATTCAAATTTTAGTAGGCGTGACGCGAAAAACTTAAAACCGCAATTCGGAAAATTTCAGGCCTTCTCTGTATATATTTTTACTTTCCGTGTACTCACTCTTCTAGCTCTCATTTATTATGAATTTTTTTCTCTTTAAGTATTATCAGATTGGTTTCCTTTGTAGAATTTCTTGAAGATTGGCATTCGAGGGTACATGGTTAAAGATATGTGCGTATTTGATGGTAGCAGCGTAGACTCTTTCATAAGTTGCGTCGTTTCCTTTGGATTATATATATTATTTCATTGTTTCAAAAAAATTTCGTTCGAGTTCTGTTCAGTGCATCTTTGGTTTTTCTTTCAGCTTTTTTCAAAAAAAGAAAGCTTTTTGTGCTCTGAGGAGATTTTCCTTCGTAATCTTCTTTTGGAAATGTTTTATTTAAAGGCTAACTTTTTCATAAACTTTCTTTGAGTAAGAAAGCTGTAATTCGTTTGAACTGAGAAGAATTGCTCGATTCAACTCGATTGATAACACGTAATTTTTTTCAGTTCGGTTTCAATTAATGCTCTTCCGTCGTTACCCTCTTTAATAACATATTCCTTTATATTCTTTGCAGATAACAGTGGCTTTTCATTATCGCAATTTAAACCTCTGGGCTAAGTGTACTGTACAAAATCAATCAGGACTTTTAACGAACACGATGAAAACTCTCACTACATGATCAGGCACAAAATTCGAAAATTCCCGAACAGTAGCACGTTTTTTGCGATGATAATACGGTAAGTCCCTAACAAAATTCTTAATTTGCGCCTCAGAAAAATATAAAGGAATTTGAAAAACCACCGAAAACTTGAGTACAACCCGAAAAATCAACCATTGCAAACCACAAAAGCTCTTTTAAAAATAAATAACTTCTTACCCTACCAAATGTACGAAATGAAAATAGTTTTGGTCTTGAGCTTCACTGATTGCCACTTAAAATGCAATTGTGTGAATAGATTGCAATAGAGCATACAGGGCTAGAAATAATTTGAGATTTTTGTGAGTAGCACTAAGACAATCAAGTGCGTAACTTATGCTTTTGCTAGAACAAGGAAGGCATAATTAGGCATTAAATAGATGTCCCCATCCTTTGTAACAGTCCCATAGATTTGATTCACTGTTCCTATTAGTTATCCACCTCTACTAAAAACATCCAGTTTTCAAACGGCGTTCTAACATCGTTCTTAATCGATTTTTGGCAACGATTTGATTCAGTTTGAGAAATCGACTGCTTTCAGAGCGCCTAAAAGAAACAGTAAAATCAACATTGAAGAAATATCTAGGTGCTCCCTTTAAAAAAGTCTCCCAAAACAAAGTCCATGTAATTAAACTTAAGCCCCTTGTAAATGTATAAAGTTGCGTTGTATTATTCCCCTCTATTGACCATTCTGTACATGTGTAGGTACCTATTCCGATTTTCCACACGACCATTTTTTATAAATGTAGCCGTTTCATTCTTGTATTTAATACATATCACTCGATCATTTTCACAATTATTAATTATATGATAGCAGCGCCTCGTGCCAAGTTGGCGGGAAATCTGTGTGTTTTTCTGTATATACATCCAGATAATGTTTATTTATTAATAAAATTAGGCATTAATAAAGATACACAACTAAAGGAGGTATTTTTTGTCATTGCATTTATTCAAATACTGTTAAACACAGGTCGGTTTATTCAATTTCAAATTTTACTACGTCGCTCTTTATCTCTAATGCCGAATTGAGTTCCTCTAAAAGTAAACAGGTAAGTTCATAACGCGTGTCCTTTAACATATCGTCCAAATACAGCATTTTAAGATGGTTCATTTTATACAAGGCGCCCAGCCCCCTTTCAGAAATACTAAAAATGTTCCTAATATCCAAGTAAACCAAGCTATGCGAAAAAATATTTGTAATTACATCCATACAGTAATCGTCTATGTGCTCGCACCCGTTGAGACTCAACCACTCAACATTCTGAAGCCCTCTAAGGTTGTCGAGACCCTCGTATCTTAAAGACGTATTAGAGCAATCTATGGCTTGCAAGTACATGTCAGTTCTGTACCGGTTTGGTAAACTGTACTCTCCATTAACGGCTTTTATCCATTTATCGTCGTTGTGGAATTTCACGGCTCCGCCTCGGTAGACGATGAAATGTGCGCAAGCCAACTCAGGACCTGAAATAGATAAAGCAATCTCTAAAAAATGTACATAACTTGGGCATAATTTAAATGAAAACATCCTTTTGTCAAGAATTTTTTCCTTTCTTCAATTCAATATTTTCCGAGAGTTTAGAGTGTAGTAAAGTCCAGAGTAACTTTTGAGCGTGGTGTCGCGCTTAGAGTAGAATGTGGCCTTCCGAAAACCGTCTAAAGTGCAATAAGAAGGACGAAAGAAATATAAGTGAGTAATATATCATTGTATTGTTTCTATCTTATTTAATTTGTTTTATTTATTTTTTTACTTTCGTCGGTCATCGAATGGAAGTAAGTATTCATAGGACGCACAGGGGCGGATCCAACTTTAAAGTCAGGGGGGGGGGGTTATGTAGTAAAAATACAGTCTTCTGTTATCTATGAAATTAGAAAAAATATCGTCGTTTTGTGCAAGGGTGGCGCAAGATTATTGCAAAATTTCATGCTTTCCGTTCCGTTTTGCATGTTTCTCGGAAGCAAAATGAGCAAGAACGCTCGTTTTTACATCATTCCAGAGATGACTAAATGGCCTTTATTCGAAGTTTCTCA